TAAGATTTATATATTTTAAGTTGTTTACTTTAGTTTGGAATTATGAAATTGAATTATTGTAGCCTTGTGATACGAGACTTTCACTTACTTGTGAGATTGATGTATTTTAAGTTATTGATTATCTTTCATTTTTATTATTATTTCAACAAAATTAACTTTAAATATAAGTTCAAAATTAACATTGAATTTTTATTTTTAGTATTTCAATGATATTAAATATAAACTTAAAATTATTTGTAATATAATTTTTTAAATTTCTTAAAAAATTTATAAATATCCATGGATATCCGTGGGTATTCAAGAAATTCATGGATATCCGCGTGAATATGGGGTGGGTATGGAACTAATTTTTATCCAACGGGGCGGGGACGGATTTACTATTACTCACCCCCATGGGGTCCCATTGTCATCCCTAATCTCACCAATTATGAATTTGACTTTCCTAAAATAGGCAATTTATATTAGAAAAATAAAGATATTTGATCATCTATTCTATAACTATTATAAAAGATATATATTTTAATAATCATTTTTTTATCTCCATTTTTTAATGGATCATTATACCCTTTGAATATATATAAAAAAATTCTTATATCTTTTCTAAATAACTATCCGGAACTTCTAATATTTATTTTAGTGTGTAACTATTAGAGGTATGAAGTGTCTCAACCTCTCTAGTTATTAATAAATAAAATTGAAGAAATAATTTTTAATAATTTATAATTTAATTTAGGAAATGGCTTCATTTTATTAACTTAAATAATACTAATAACATAATAAATAATAGTTTGTGTGTTTAGATTATAATTTACAAAATATAGTTTGGTTGAACATGATTTTTGGAACTTAAATTTAGTTAGAAGTAAGTTAGTGTAACTTGATTTATGTTTAGATATATACTTTTATCTAAAAGTACTTTTATTAAAATGAAATTTGTTTGGATGATATTAATTAAAATCACTTTTTAACTGTATAATTACTTAAATGGATAAAAATTTTATAATGTGATATTAATATTATTTATTTTATTATTTAATTTATGAATATTTGAAGTGATTATGTTATTGTTATAATGAAAAAAAAAAAATAGAACTAACATTATAAATTAAAAAAAAAGCAAATAATGTTATAGTGTATAAATTTATAATTTTTAGGTTTGCTTTAATAAGCTAAAGTAATTGTAACACCAATTGTAATTGGCATGTGTATTACTGTGTATTATATATTATGAAAAAATTTAAAATGCTTGCAACTAGTTACGTTGAGCGACAAAACAATCAATAGGTAGCTTTGAGTCAAACTAACGTTTAAAAGATAATAGCATTCAATTCAATGGAATATTGAGTTGCCAAACAATGAGGTATTGAGGTACAACTTTCTATATAAATATAACGTGGGTTAAAGGTATTCAAATGTGAATCCAAACACATTATACAATGTAAATATAACCCACGATTTTTTGAGTAATGTTAAGGATATTAACAATTTTTATTTATTTATTAAAAATTATAAATTTTGATAATTCCATTAAATGAAAAAGATATTCATTAATGTATTTGAACTTAAAATTGAATTATTTGGATACTGTCCAAATTCGATTCTTAATAAAAAATAATCTTTAACTAAATTTTATTTTTCTTCCGAATCATATTAATTTAAGGCAGAATTTTAGAACATTAGTGTAAAAAAAAATGAAAAAGATACTAATTAATTGGGACACATACTCTTCAAATTTAAATTTTTTTAATTTTAATAAATTTTAACAAATTTGAGAGGTGTTGACATTCCTCTAAATTCCATCATAATAGAGATTTTTTTTTTTTTTAACTTCAATTCAATATATATGAACTATCAATTGTTTTGTAATGTGCAGAGCTTATGTAGACAATATTAAATACATCTATAAGCACTTATAGAATTCTAGTGAGTTCTCGGAATCTAGTTCACCTAAAATTTTAATTTAAAAAAACTTTCATGTTAATTCATGTGGTAAATAGTTTCGTAATATGTGACACTTCTTTGTAATTTGATATAATTCTATATGTTAACGGTCAATTTTTCACCAAACATAAACTTTTAATTTTTAACCTTTTTTTTCTAAAAGAACAACTTTAAACGAGTCAAATCCAATAATTCTACTTCCGGTGTAATACTAATTGCCTTTCATGGGTATGCATCACATATCAAAGAATAAACTCGAACTTAAACCTCTTCTTTTATCCCAAATTACGAATCCAGGACTAAGATAACACTTTCCTATTTCATATGAATAGGTGAAAATGTTATGAATCATGAACCCTCATATTTCCTTTTGACGAATTAAAATATGTTAATTAATTGGGCCCCAGTAAAAAAAAATATATAGTTGAAGCTTTATGTGTAAGAATAAGATAATGCATATCTCATCATGGAACCTTCCACGTGGCAAGATTATAATAATTTGCAGCACACCTCAGCTGACCCATTTTTTGTCACATTGGTTTGACTAGGTTTAGGTCATCATATGTATACATGCATGTTACAAGAGCTTGCCAATTTGTTCAATGCAAGGCTCGGAAATTAAACAAGAAAATTTTAAAAAAATTAAAAATAATAGATAATTGGGAAATGTATAAGAATGGAGAACATAGAGAATATGTTGACAATTCTTTGTTTCTGCCCTAGTTATTCCCTTCTCTAGAAACAATCACTCAAGAAGGACGAAATTCATGCTTAGAATTGGAATCCCCTTTAAAGTATTATACCCCATCATTGAAAAAGTTAGGGATATCATCGACCCACAAACTCAAATCATTCGATCTAATCTAATTAATTATAATTATATTTTTTAGGTTAAATTGAATCATCGAGATGAGTTAAACATTTTCTATATTATCTATTTATAATTGAGTTCAATATTTAGTAAAAGAGTTTTTTTTACACAATGTACCAGACTTAACCCAACTAAATGTAAGTCAAATTACAAAACACGTATTGCACTATTCATCTGTTTTATTATATTATTACTTAATAATATATATGTTACTTTTTTAGACTACTTATAAATTTAACATTTGTTTATTTGAAATATTTGTGATTGTTGTATCATGTATTAAAATTTGTATTGAATATGTTTTTTGTTTTTTCTTTCTCAACCTAGTTATCCAACTTGATTGCAGTTGGATCTGTCGTATTCAATTTAAAAATTTTATAAACCCAACTTAACCCAACTAAATTAAAATAATTGAATTAAAATTAAATAGTTCAAATCTAACTAGGACCATTTACATCCTTAAAAAAAACGCTTTGAGCAGTGTAATTATATTTATCACATATTTAAAGATTTTATACGAACTGTATCAAGAATTCATAGTCATTCTTTTTGATATATAAATTTATGTAATGTGTAAGTGAATTAGAAACATGTTTTCCACAATTAAAAGTTGGTAAAGATGGTGACTGCGATCTAAAAGTTGACAACAAGGTGCCCACAATTTAAAAGTTGATGTGTATAAAATTGGCATTACCATGGCATGATGCTGATGCACAATTAACAATCTCTCTTTTATCACCTGCCTCTAATAATATGTGCGTTTTTGAATATTGAACCATTGGTTTGAATATTCAACCAACAATTTCCTTCCAAAACCTTTTCCAGCACCATGTGCTTTTGTGCTCAGATATTGGTTTTCATATTATATGTTTGATTGAGAGCGTATACAAAAGTTATAATTATTAATTAGGACTACACATTATTTTTCTTAAATTTATTAGCAAGAAATATAATTCGATCTGACTATGATCCCATTTGAATTTGATCAAGTACGTGCTGGCTCGCCTGCAACTAAATTTGTTTAGTTAATTTATCATATTGTAAACACACAAGCTTCTACATACTGACGCTAGATTCATATTTTATTAGAAGCTTTATGAATAATTTGTATATTCCTATTTGTATAATATACAACCTTTTTACTTTATATTTTAGGTTTGTTTTTGGTGTATATATTTTAGATTTTTTTTATGGAAATTAATGTAGATGACAATAATACAATAATTAAATAAAAAATAATATCATCAAGTAAGTATAAAGTTTTTTCAATTTAACAAGGTATATATGGTTTGAGACACAACACAAACATAGACATTTACACACAATTAATATATAAAATATAAGATATTTGAACACTCATACGCGCATAAACTCTAATCGAATGAAATATGAATAACATAAAAAAAAAATCTAAATTAATGGTATATTTACTTTTTTAAATCAACCTTTTTTTTAATGATACCAAGCCTCAAAAAGGCTAGAAGCATTACTTTTTAAAGTTTAATATTATATTTTAAGCTTAATTATCTCAAAAGTTAAAATATAAATATTTTTCGATAACATTAGTGTGTCCATTCATATGAAGGTAACATTCAAGTATGAGTTGTGCAGAGGATTCAACTTAAATGTCCAATCTAACAAAAATAATTTTTTAATAAAACATCTAATTAAAAGTTTCTGACAAATGTTAGGGATGATGCTATAAAGAAAACATATTTAGGGGTAAAATTATAACACGTCGAACATGCTTAATACATATTAAGTATATAATTGTGTTAAATATCTAGATTAACAAATTTATCACCTATTCCTAATACAAACAGAGTGTCTCTCATAAAGAATATTTGTAATCTCATAAAAAATAAACTAACACTCATTGCTAATGTTAACTTTTGAAATACTAATGTTTCTTAATTTCAAATTTATACTTTTATGTCACTTTATGTTTATGCTAACTGTATTATACAGTAATTATGTGTGACATAAAATATATCATATTTCTTGTTCTGTATCCCCTGCACTTCCCTAATAAATAACTGAGTAGCAAATGCCACTTGGCAATTTGTTATGTTAGCTTCCAAGTTCCAAGTCAGAATTTATGGGAAAAGAATCTCAATGAATTAGGTAGAGGAGGCTAGTGAGGAGGGTGACAATTGACAGGGTCAATAACCACTCACTATTTTATCCATATAGTTAGAGAAGTTGGTGACACAGTGAATAAAGGAGTTGGTATTATTATATATATAATCCTCCTTGCATTACATTTTGTTGTCATTGGCTAAGGTTCCTCAACTCATCGCAACATTTCTTTGTGAACTCTTTTTTGATTCTGAGAGCAGAAGAACATGGCTAAAGCAATTGCAGCTTCTTTCTTGGTTCTGCTTCTGGCTTTCCCCACTGTGTTTGGAACTGACCATGATGTAGGTGAAAGTGCTGGATGGGCCCTTGGGACTAACTATGCCACCTGGGCCTCTGGAAAAACTTTCAGGGTTGGTGACAATTTGGGTAAGTCTCTTCAATTTCTTAGCCTTTTTCAGAAACTAGTAAAATTTTTAAGGAAAAGATTAGCACAAGGACTCAAGAAGCAAAGTAAATTTGAAAATCAAGTTAATGGCTAAGTTTAGTGAAGGTAACTAAGGTTGTGTAGTATATGATGTTCTCTCATGTAGTTTCACATGATTTTATTTTAAGGGTCGGTTTTATACTACAAGAAAATAGTTGAATTTATGCCCTGTTGGATTCTTTTCTTATCAGTTGAACATAGTTTAAAGTTTTCAAGTGTGGTCATAGTTTCATGTAATATTTGATATTACAAGAAATTGTGGTCAAATGCAACCACAAAAACTCCAAAACATTGATGTTTGAATCAAAATGGTGGTTGTCAAACATTTTTTTTAAAACATTTGTGTCAAAGTTACTGTATCATGTATCTGTTTCGATACTTTTTTTTTCCGAAACACCAAAAGTATGAAGAAAAAAAAATGAAAAAAACTTTTTTTTTAATAAATTAAGAGCTTATTTATATACAAATTTAATTTATTTTTCCTTTTTACTTTTAAATATCTACATGATTTCTATATTTTCTGATGGTCATATAACAGAGAAATTATTGATCTAACTATGTATTTCCTTTATGTAAACCAGTGTTCAAGTATGACTCAACCCATGAGGTTGATGAAGTTGATGAGAGTAGCTACAACAGCTGCAGTTCAAGCAACAGCATCAAGAACTACAAGGGTGGTAACACCAAAATTGAACTCTCTTCAACAGGCAAAAGGTACTTCCTGTGTCCCACAGCAGGCCACTGTGCAGGAGGCATGAAACTAGAAATCAATGTAGTGGCTGCTGCTAGTGGCACCCCTCCAACCACCCCAAGTGGTACCCCCCCATCAAAATCCCCTTCTCCTCCCTCTGAGTCAGGATCCCCTGCAACCAACTCCACTTCACCACCTTCTCCAAAGTCTAGTGGAGCAGTTTCTGTGTCCAGTGGCATTGCTCTTTTGGTGGGGTCAGCAATTGTCTTTGCCTTCATGGCTTAATTACCTAGGGAAGAGGCAGTGCTGTTTTTACCTCTATTAATATGTTCTTGTTTTTTTATTTTATTTTATTTTATTGAGTTTGTGTGAATTTCATTTGATCCAGATTTGTATCTGATCTTGATGTGTATCACCCTTTAATTTAAAGAAGAAAAAAAAAAACATTTCTTTAACTGGTTTTTTTCTCCCTTTTCTTGTGATGATGGTGACATTAGATGAGTGTAATTCCTTGCTTCTTTTTGTTATCCTTTGGCTGGCAATAGTTGACCATGAAATAATTTTATCATACTAGTGTAAGTAAAAAGTCTTACATTAAATTGAAACATATTGAGTGATATATACATGAAAATAATATTTAGGATATATTTGGATATCAACTTCTCATAAATACTTTAGAACTTTTTTTTTATAAGTAGCTTATGAGTCGAATTATCCTCATTTAGATGTATTTAAAATTGGGCAAATTGCCTCTTAAAAAATTTGTGCAAATTGTGATAATTGTTCAAGTAGAAATAATGTTTTATCTTAGTAAGTTGTAATGACATTTAATACTCTTGAAAAAAACTAAAATCTGATTTCAAGAGTTTTTCTTTAGAAACTTGCTCGAATTTTAATCCATTAAGAGGAGAAATAAGAAGGGGTTAAGTTATTTTTGCAGCACCCATTAAAATATATTTCTTCTCAAAATTGGAATGAAATGAAAAGAAAATAATTTCTTTCTTCTATTTTTTTATTTATTTTTATAAATTATAATATAATTTTTAAAATATTAAATAATTTTATATTTTGAAAAAGTATTATATTAAAATATTTTATCTATCATAAATATTTTATTTATAATTCATATATTTATTTATTTTTAATTTCTACTCTGTTTCGATCTTTTTTATTTTATTTTATTTTATTTTAACCTTTTCACTTTATCCAAAAAAAAAAAAGAAGAAAAACATAAATGTGCCTGTTAAATATTTTATTGATCTCCAAATCTATTATGTTATTGGCTAAGGAATACAACTGGCATCAAATCTTTAAAAATTATTTTTTAATTACAATATAATTATAAAGACATGGGCCAAGTGGCCAACCACTACGACCTTTTCCATATGCCTAATATCGCTTTAAATTTAGTTCAACCGCCTCAGTGTTTAATTATTGATCATTATTCTTTGATAAGATTATTTATTTGGCAAAACCTTAATACAATAATATATTCTGTAGATGAATAATGGTGCAAATCAATATTATTTTCATTAATCAATTCATAGTTAAAGAGGTATCTTGCACTTGCAGTGCCTACGTTCTTGGTGTTGTGTATCAGAAAGAAAATTTCTCATAAATTTAAAATTGCACGAGACAACTGGATGGATTAGTTAGGTCTGGTCAAAGTGTTAGTTCCAATTAATTAAATAATTGATCAAACTGTGGTTAAAAAGATTCTAATTGGAAAAAAGGATGTCACAAAGTCAATGTGGTCCTCCACATCATCCATCACTTTCACCAGTTGTTCCTCATTTGTTTAATGAAAAGCACAACTCATCCACCAAGAATTTGTAACTTAATTAACCTAAAACCAAGACTCAATTTGGATTAAATTTTTTATTTACTTGTGAGTCTTTCAATGATGGAATTTTACTGTTAAGACTATTTCAAGACAAGAATATTAAAGTTTATGAAGAAGTTAATAGAGAAACTTTTAAAAAAGGTAGAAGCCTATAAGTTAATTTTAATTTATGTAATTATTTTATTTATTTAATAAATATTTATAAGTGTTTGTAGAAAAATTCATAGATGAACTTTTGAAAGAATCGAGGAAAATACATTAATCTTATTTTGTATAAAAATGTTTTGTTTTCTTAAATTATTAATAAAAAAATTATCTAAATTAACTCGAATAATTGAGTAACTTCATGATTTGAATGTGTACAGATAATTAGAGGCTTAAAATTTCAAATTTTCAACAGGTCATTACTTTTGTTGCTGACGAGGAAAAAAATAGGTACAAATCCTCCAAAGTGGGCTTTTGGGTATCAAACCTTTTTTTCTTTAATTTTTGAAAGAATCTCTATTAAATAATATAATAAATCTCTCATATCTTATATATATATATATATATATATAGTTTATTATTATCTTCTAAATACTTTTTTTGGAAAGTATTTTTGTAATTGCTCATAGGAAATCTGGTCTTACTAGTGAGGTCAAGATCATATATAGTAGGCTTAGGGATACTTCTAGTGACACGATTTGGTAGTATTCTTCTAACTTGTCAATATTAACTGGAAACCTTTTAATCTCGACATGTTCAAATGCTCCATGATGTACCTCTTCCTCATTATGTGATTGTTGATCACCAGATTGTTACTATTGTATCTTCTCTTAGTACAATTTTGTAACTTCCTTTTTCAATATAACCTCATTATTAACTTCTTGAGGGACAAGAGTCTAAATTTTATCACAATTCTCCCCCTGAATTTCAGACGGGTGAAAAATACATCAATGTCTCATGAAAAATTACATTTATAGTAGTGAACATTTGGTTGTTTATGGATGGTAGCACCGATATCCTTTTTGATGATTAGCATAGCTAAGGAACACACACTTTTCAGCTCTAGGAGACAACTTACTTCTCTGATGTGTGTGGAAGTGAACATAAGTGACACAACCATAAACTCTGTGTGTTAATTCAGCAATTCTAGAACTTACTACTACATCCATAAGTGATTGAAGAGGTGTTTTATACTTAAAAGACATGTGTTCAATTGATAGTGTATACTGCAAATGCAAGAACTTCTCCCCAATATATTGCTGGCATGTAAGCTCCAATTAGTGCAGCTTGGACCACCTCCAATAGATGACAATTCTTTCATTCTACCATGCCATTTTGTTGTGGAGTATTTAGGCAAGACCTCTGATGAACAATTCCTTTAGCTATTAGAAAATTTTGAAGATCTAATTGCATATACTCTCCTCCATTGTCACTACGCAGTACTTGAACTTGTGTTTTGTACTGAGTTTCAATCATTTTGCAATTTTTTTTGAAATAGTCCCCTAACTTTACTTTTAGAATTTATCATACAAATCCAAGTCATTCGAGTACAATCATCAATAAATGTTACAAACCATGTTGAGTGACCCAACATCGTAACCTTAGATGAACCCTATACATCAGAGTGAATAATCATAAATGGGAGAGAACTTTTATTTGAAATTAAAGGAGAAGTAGTTATGTGATTCTCTACAAACTCAGAAACATCACAATACAAAGTTGAAGTGTCTATTTAATCAAATACATTTGGAAATAATTTCTTTATGTAACCAAAAGATCCATGTCCCAGACGTTTATGCCATAACCAAATATCCTTGCGTTTTCTTACTTCTTGAGGCCCTTTTGTCGCTAGCACTTGACCAAGCCTCTCTAAATCTTTTTATGTCAAATTTAGATAATACAACCTTCCTTGTCTAATACCACAACCAATCATTTTTCATGTTTGAATGTCCTTAAAAATACAAGTGTCAAACCTAGAAATTATAACACATAATATAACTTTGGTTATCTGAGAGACTGACAATAGGTTATATTTTAGAGAAGGAACAACAAAGACAATATTAATCTTCAAATTGTTTGAAATAGAGACAGTTCCCTCTCCAATAATAGTGGATTTACTGCCATTAGTTGTGGAAATACTTTTTTTGTAAAGAAGGTTTAAGATTTTTAATGTCTAGCATCAAAAGTCACATTATTAGAGCATGTACAGTCAATTATCCATGCATTATTCAAAATAATGGATGTGCTTATTAAGACCTTATCATTAAGGTCATCACTACATGTAGTAGCAAGTACCACGCCTTTATCGTCCTCTTTCTCATTGGTAGTTACAACAACAATAATTGGAATTTTTCTTGAATTCTTCTTTAATGCTCGACTGTGATCTCACCAATTGGGGTATCCAATGATTTCACAACATCATTCCTTGGTGTGTTTATCCTTATTACACTAAGTGCACTTATAGTTACCCTTTTTATAACCTTTTGGTAATCTGACTTGCTTCCTTATCATCATAGCTGTGGAATTTGAATTGATATCTCTTGTATTCAATGTTGTTCGTTAGACTATCTCTCACTAAATCAAGGCATAACATTCTTCTAAATTAGGTGCTATTTCCTTGCACAAGATTTCTCCACAAACTTGCTCAAAATGATCATCTAGTCTAGTAGGGAATATATGTACCCTCAATTTCTCAATTGACTTCTAATATGATTTCACATCATTAGGGTCCTTCATGACTACTTTGTCCCGATGGTCTAATTCCCTAAAAATCTCAACCAACTCCCCATAATATTTAGTTAGTGTTCTATTATTTTGTTTTGTAGTGAGTGCTTTTTGATTTAGGGAAAACACTTGTAGCTCATGACTTCCATCATAGAACGCCTTTGACAAAGCATTCTAAATATCAAGGGTAGTGGGTAATCAAATAAATTTTTTATGATTTCTAGCTTCATGGACATTAGCAGCCATCTTTTCACCTTTTACCATTTTTCATATCCCTCATCTTTTTTTGTTGGAGGCTTCACCTTCCCATGGATATAAGACAATTTTTCCCTCTTTGCAATGTGCATCTTCATTAGTTGTGACCACTTGTCATAGTTGGATTCTTTTAGGATGATGCCTACGTTGAAGACACCTTAAGATTGAACTACCACTGGAATTAATGTTTTTTTCTATCATCTCTCTAGTGAAAATCTTCAAGGGTTTAGAAAAAAAGCCTAAGCTTTGATACCAAATTAAAAAATAAAATAAATTGAATGACTTTTATTCATGCTTTTGGCACACAAAATACTCTATTCTTATAGTATTTTACTCCTATAAATCAGGAGCCAAATAAGGGAGTTTATCAATCATGGACAAAATTAAGGAAGTCCTAATTATATAATATTTTTTTAGATCTATAAAACTATAATTTAGCGAAACACACTTGATCATAAATAGGTACAAAATGTCAATTTGATATGACATTGTAAAGAAAAAAGAAGGAAACCTCTTTGTCGTTGGGACATCAAAGTATTTAGAGAATTCGGTAAACACTTGTTGCTGAATGTTTGTGAAGGACTAAAGCTTTGAAAAAATTTTCTCCATACAACAACCTTAAGTCTCCTTTTATTTGAAAAATTGTTTGTAACCAATCTTCCACTATTTTATCCATTCCTTCTTTTTAGTTAACCACTTTTATGTTGAGTATATGGA